CAAAAGATGTCACAAAAGTACGCACAATTCCCCAATTTACCAATTTACATTTCTGAAGAAGGGTCTAGGCCCGAAACGTCAGCTTTCCTGCTCCTCTGATGCTGCTTGGCCTGCTGTGTTCATCCAGCTCTACACCTTGTTATCTCCAATTTACCTGTCTTTTAGACCCAGGTTGACAAAGCACAGACCAGGTGTTTTTGCATTTGACAAGAATAATTTCTTTTAAGTAAACAGATTCTGACTACAGGTAAACAAATGTAAACTATTGACATTTAACTCGTTAAAACTCTAACCTGCTTATAAACTAACCCCAATTCGTGCACACGTACAAACTATTAATGGACAACTAAACAGCTTGATAAGAGGATTTGAAATCAGGTCAATCAATTATGTATGTTAAAGGAGAGCCAGTCTTATTTCCATATAGTGTAAAACTAATTGAGTTACAGACACCTCCAAGCTTCATGCTAAATATTACACCATACAAATTAGAATTCCCAAGTTTCTTTGTCCAGATTTCTTGCACTATCTACTGATTTCCCCAAGTTTTCACCAGTATTGTCTGTATTTCATGCAAGGCAAACTCTGATCTTGTTAATACTGCAGCTCCTGTATTTCTAGGCTGTGCTGGTGATACACAAATTCCCATTTGATTTTTCAGTATGGCTAAAAGTGTAACCCTTAACAAGGTGAAACTGATTGAAGCCATTCACACACTGGTGTTCTGGGCAGAGGGAAGTATTTCGAAGGCAGTTCAGTGGTCCCTGTTCAGAGGGTTTGCTGAGATGGTCCTTTTGGCTTGTTGGGTCGTGCCATTCCTCGATTCTCCATCAGATACTTTCACTTGCTTATAGGATGTATAGAGTGGATGCTTTACGCTTTTAAATTCTTTAGCTTGCTCGTTAAGGGCCACAGTTTACAACAACAACTGAGGGAAACCTAAACTTGCTTTCTTTAGGTTTAAGGTGTTTTTTTTTTTTTTTTTTTTTTTTTGTTTTGTTATCCTAACTGTTCATATCCCCAAGCTGTTCAGCTACCTGGGAACCAGTTATGTATGTATTGGCAGACAGAAGGCCTTTGTCATTGACAATTCGGCCACAGATCAATCAGCAACTTGAAGCTAGCCAAAGCTCCATTTTTTGCTCCCTTGCAACACTGGCCGTGTAAACAGCACTTCAAATGAGTATCGGGTTACTTGTTTTTTTAAGAAGTGCAGCAGTTCTTCTCCTCATTCAGTTCTCAAGAATACACAAAAAAGCAGCCTTTACAATAGCTGTATTCAAGTATTTTAAAATGTAAATTTTCGCCTTTAGCACAGTACAAAGAGCACCGAGCCATCGAGTGTTCAAACAGTCTTAGAGGAGGATGATGATGAGGCTCCACCGCCAGCCATTGCACCACGGCCAGATTGCACCAAGTCGGTGAGTATTACGAAAACAGATGTAAAAGCTTCTCGAATTGCTGCTCAGAAAACCTCCAGTGTCACATCCCTATTGCTTCCTGAAGTTTTTCTCCATTTTATCTTCAGAATTTTTCTTTCTTTCTGTGCTTGTCAACTGAAAATAGATCCTGTTATGTTCTTATCACTAAGTTCAGTTTACATCAAACTTCACCTGAATATCAAGCATGAGACCATTTCTCTTTAATGATTCCATACAGGATGTTTATATAGAAGTACAAATCGATGTAGGAGGTGAGTTGGTAAAGTTGGTGGAATTTGCAGGTGACCAGGCTGCAAATGGCCACCACAGTAGAAGATGATCCTTGGTGAATGAAGTGGTGAAAATGATTGAAAAGGAGGTGAGAATCATGTAGTATGAAAGAAATAACAATTCCAAAATAAATAACTCAACTGAGACAGCTATCACAATTTAGGAACCTGGGAAGAATCTTATAGCCCTAAAGAAATTTTAAATTTTAAAATAGCAATGGGAAAGAATTCAGACTCCAGATAAACAGAATTGTTCAGTATAAGAATGAGTTGAGATTTGAAGGAAAGAATTATTAATGTTGTGATTTGGATTCTTGTTATGAGAGGTGGGTGTGAAGAAAGTGGACATCCAAAGACAGCAAAGTTGTGAAATGTGGTTCTGGAGAAGAGTAGATTGACTGACTCATTTAGAGCAAATGTGAGGAATAAGGAAATTCTGAGGATGGTGGAAAAGGAAAGATCAAGTGAATATCATTAAGGAAAGGCAACAAAGTTGAATTGACCATATTATGAGGAATGAAAACCTGCTGAAGCAGGTGATGGAAGGTTGGCACAATAGAGATCAAGAAGGAGAGAATGATGATAGACTATTTGAAGTTGAAAATGGGAGGCTGCAATGAGTAACTGAAAGAGAAATGAACAGAGGAGCTGCCCTTAGGCAAATCACCTGATATGTCTGATAAATTCTTCTTTGATCAATAGTCTGGGGTGGCACGGTAGCACAGTGGTTAGCACTGCTGCCTCACAGCACCAGGGACCCAGATTCAATTCCACCCTTGGGTTGCTGTCTCTGTGGAGTTTGCACGTTCTCCTCGTATCTGCTTGGGATTTCTCCGGGTGCTCTGGTTTCCTCCCACAGTCCAAAGATGTACAGGTTAGGTGGATTAGCCATGCTAAATTGCCCCATTGTGATCAGGGGTGTGCAGACTAGGTGGATTAGCTGTGATAAATGTGGGGTTTTGGGGTTAGGGTGTGTCTGAGTGGAATGCTCTTCAGCAGGTCGGTGCAGACTCGATGGGCTGAATGGCTTCTTTCTGTACTGTAGGGATTCTATGATTCTGTAACTGTAGACAGTTGTGCTATTAGCAGTGACTGTGCAAGACTAAACTTTGAGGTATTGGTGAATCAATCGTGACTGTTGGACTACAATCTGGCTCTTCAGGTGGGAAACCAATGTTGGAGAAACAACCCATCAGTCTGCTGCGGAGAGGAAAGACTGGTTATGATACAATCTTCTGAATTTCGCTGCATTTCCAGCATATCCTGTCCATGTCAGATTTTTTTTTTTTAAAACTCTTTACAGTTTTCCTGTTTTTGTTGAATGATCACTATAGGATGTTCAAGGGTAGCTGGGAGTGTTTTGAATGGAGCTTTGGTGACTCCGTGAGACCAAGATGTGAGCTGGTTATCACTATCTGACTACTGTCTCTTAGGGCTGTGGATAATTACGTTTTTTGGAATTCTTGCTATCACTTCCATTAGTTGCAGGCTGTCTATTAACCTAGCTAAATGTACTGACCTCATAGATGGGCAGGGTTGTCTTGTTAGTAGGAACTGAAACTAAGTCAAGAGCAAGAAATGATAAATTGTTGGAAGGTGTAGAATCTGTGTCGGTAGAGTTGAGGAACCGCAAAGGAGGAAAAACTCCTGATGGGAGTTGTGTGCAGTCCTCCGAGCAGTAATCAGAATGTGGGGAAGAAAACCTATCAGGAGATAGGAAAGGCACTATTACAATAATCATGGGGTACTTCAATATGTAGGTGGACTGGGAAAGTTAGGTTAGTAGCAGACTCCAAGAAAAGGAATTTGTGGAATGTCTACAGGATGATGATTTTTTGTAGCAGCTTGTGGTAGAGCCCACGCGGAAACAGACAATTCTGGATTTGATGTGTAATGAGACAGATTTGATGAGGGAGCTTAAAGAAAAAGAACCCATGGGGGGCAGTGACCATAATATGATAGAATCCACCCTCCAGTTTGAGAGCGAGACACTGAAATCAGATCTGATGGTGTTAAATCGAGTACAGGATAAGGGAGGAGCTGGCCAGAGTTGGCTTTGAAGGGGAGCCTAGCAGGGAGGACAGTGGAGCAGCAATGACCGGGGTTTCTGGAGGTAATTCGGGAAGCATGGTAGAATTCATGCCAAGGAAGAAGAAATATACAAAGGGGAGGATGGGACAACCATGGCTGACAAGGGAAGTCGGGACAGCATAAAATAAAAAACATACAATGTAATTAAGATTAGCAGGAAGCTAGAGAATTGGGAAGCCTTTTAAAAACCAGAGGATAACCAGAAAAGCACTAAGGGGTAGAAGATGGAATATGAAGGTAAGCTAGCTAGTAATAGATTGCAAGAGTTTTTAAAAATATTTGAGACACAAGAGTGGACATTGGACCATTGGAAATGAGGCTGGAGAAGTAGTAATGGCGGAGGAACTGAATAGGTATTTTGCATCAGTGTTCAGTGGAAGATACAAGCAGGATACCTGGCCTTCAAGAGGGTCAGGGAACAGAAGTGTGTGTAGTGGCTACAGCTAAGGAGAAGGTGCTGGGAAAGCTGAAAGACCTGAAGGTGGATAAATCACTTGGACCAGGTGGACCACACACAAGGGTACTGAAGGAGATTAAAAGGCATTGGTGGTGATCTTTCAGGAATCACTGGAGTTAGGGAGGATCCTGGATGACTGGAAAATGGCTAATGTAACATCCTTGTTTAAGAAGGGAGGGAGGCAGAAGACAGGAAACCATAGGCCTGTTAGCCTGACCTCGAGCATTTGGTAATATTATAGAGTCCATTATTAAAGATGAGATTTTGGAGCCCTTGGAAGTGCGTGGTAAAATAAGCGTTGGAGTCAGCATTGCTTCTGGATTTCCGAAGGCCATTGACAAGGTGTTGTACAAGAGCTTGCTAAATAGGATAAGAACTGCTTAGAAACACACAAATTTGCAGATGCTGGAATCCAAGGTAGACAAACAGCGGTTGTAAGAACTGCTGATGCTGGAGTCAGAGATAACAGTGTGGAGCTGGAGGGACACAGCAGGCCAGGCAGCATCAGAGGAGCAGGAAAGATGACGTTTCGGGTTGGGACCCTTCTTCAGAAAAGTTTCTGAACAAGTGCCACGACCCGAAACGTCAATTAGACAAATAGGAGGCTGGAAGAATGCAGCAAGCCAGGCAGCATCTGGAGGAAAGGAGAAGTCAACGCTTCGGGTATTATTCTTCTTGGATAAGAACTGGCATGGATAGAGGATTGGCTGACTGATAGAAGGTTGGCAGTAGGGATAAAGGGGCCTTTCTCGGGATGGCAACTGGTGACTAGTGGAGTTCCACAGGGATCTGTGTTGAGACCACAACTATTCAGGTTATACATCAGTGATCTGGATGATGTGTATTATTGCTAAGTTTGCAGATGACAAAGATAGTGTTGAGGAAGTAGGAGGCTGCAGAAGGATTTCAGCAGGCTCGGAGAGTGGCAAAGAGGTGGCAGATGGGATACAATAGAGTCAGAGAGCTGTACACCACGGAAACAGACCTTTCGGTCCAACTCATCCATGCCAACTGGATATCCTAGATTAATTTGGTCCCATTTGCCAGCATTTGGCCCATATCCCCTTAAACCCTTCCTATTTAATACCAATCCAGATGCCTTTTAAATGTTATAATTGTGCCAACCCACTCCACTTCCTCTGGCAGCTGTTTATACACACCACCCTCTGCTTGAAAAAGTTACCCCTTAGGTCCCTTTGAAATCTTTCCTCTCTCGCCTGAAACCTATGCCCTCTAGTTTTGGACTCCCCTACTGCAGGGAAAAGACCTTAGCTATTTGTCCTGTGCATGCGCTTGTGATTTTATAACCCTCTAAAAGTTCACCCCTCAACCTCCAATGCTCCAGGGAAAATTGCCCCAGCCTGTTCAACATCTCCCTATAGTTCAAACCCTCCAATCCCGGCAACATCCTTGTAAATCTTTTCTGAACCATGTCAAGTTTCACAACATCCTCCCAATAGCAGGGAAACCAGAATTGCATGCAGTATTCCAATAGTGGCCTAACCAATGTCCTGTACAGCCGCAACATGGCCTGCCAACTCCTATACTCAATACACTGACCAATAAAGGCAGCGTACCAAATGCTGCCTTCACTTTCTACCCTTCTGTCCTTTCTACCTGGGACTCTACTTTCAAAGAAGTGTGAATCTGTACTCCCAAATTGTGGGAAATGTGTAAGGTTATGCACTTTGGTAAGAAGAATAGAGGCACAGACTATTTTTCAAACGGGGAAAGGCTTTGGAAATCTAAAGCACAAAGGGACTTGGGAGTCCTAGTCCAGGATTCTGTTAAAGATAACATGCAGGTTCAGTTGTCAGTTAGGAAGTTAAATGCAATCTTAGCATTCATTTCAAGAGGGCTAGGAATTTAAGAGCAAAGATATACTGCTGAGGCTGTATAAGGCTTTGGTTGAACGGTATTTGGTATGTTGTGAGCACTTTTGGACCCTGTATCTCAGGAAGGATGTGCCGGTGTTTGAGGGGGTCCGGAGGAGGTTAGCAAGAATCTTCCCGGGGGGTGAAGCACTTGTCATGTGAGGAGCAGTTAAGGAGTGGTTTAGAAGGATGAGGGGATCTGATTGAAACTTGCAGAATACTGACAGGCCTGGATAGACTGGACATGGTGTTGCTGTTTCCACTAGTAGGAGAGACTTGGACCCAAGGGCACAGCCTCAGGGTGAAGGGACAACCTATAGAAGTGAGATGAGGATTTTCTTCAGCCAGAGGCTATTAATCTGTAGAATGTATTGCTGTGGAGGCCAAGTCATTGAGTATATTTAAGACAAATGGGTTCTTGATTGGTAAGGGGATCAAGGATTACAGGGCAAAGGCAGGAAAATGGGATTGAGAAACATATCAGCCATGATTGAATGGCAGAGCAGACTCGATGGGCTGAATGACCTAATTCTGCTCCTTTTTTCTCATGGTCTTATAACCTACATGGACCAGAGACCCCAAGTTCAATCCCCAAATGAGTTGGTCTTTTATCTGAAGCAGCATGAGACAATACATTGGGCTCCGCACCCTGATCTAGGGAGACAGCAATTCTGTCCAGGTTGCCATTCTTGATTATTATCCAGTGACTAGTTCTGGGCGACAGGAGAGGACAGCATTAAGCTTCATTGTTATGGCACCCTGACTCCAGGCCATCCGACCCTGCTTAAAATCGCAGTGAAAAGTACTCACTCAACTGAGGTATTATACGCTGCTGGGAGTCAAAGCTGTATTTAGTGAGATAGCGAAGAAATTTTTTAAAAAGGGATGATTGTGTACGTGGACAATGTTGTTCACATACAAAGGGATATTAGCATAATTGTACAACTTGTGTCTGTATATCAGCATCAGCTGTTGCACCATTTTCTTCAGGTTTACACGCGGTCTGTGATTGATCCAATTCCACCTCCTGCCAGCAGAGAACCAGATGGCGATGGCACTTCAAAAGGGCTGGACAAAACAAAAAAGAAGGCAAAGATGACAGATGACGAGATTATGGAAAAACTGAGTAAGTGCTCAGTGGTTAACTCTGAGAGACCCTCTACGTCAAACACCTTGTTACTGCAGCTGTCAAGTATGGGTCTGAAACAAGATATTTAGAAACAATGTTGAACTGGTAATGACATGTTTTTGAGCAGTTCCCTGCTGCTCTTGTGTATTTTGAGCACAGGTACTGACGGTACTTGTATTGGTTAGATCGAGTGGGGATCTTGCTGGAGATGATTCAGTTTGTCATGGCTATGTCAGTATCATCTGTCTGAAAGTCTTAAAGCAGTTTGATAACCATGCTATACATCTTTGTTGCAGGGAGTATTGTGAGTGTTGGAGATCCAAAGAAAAAATACACCAGATTTGAGAAAATCGGGCAGGGGTGAGTGCTGCTTCAACACTTGAGTGAATCATTGCTTGGCTGGATGTCCTACTTCACTGCTCGAAGATGGATGGAGCATTTTTGACACCTTGATCTCTCCTTAAAGACTTAAGATCATAAGTTTTGTTTTAGCACAAATCCTTCTAGTCCAGAATGAATTCTGGACTTTGCAATGATCAGGGTGGTGATTGATACAAAAATCATGTGTGATTTTTATTACTGTTTCCTTACAGTGCTTCAGGGACAGTATTCACGGCCATTGATGTAGCAACAGGACAGGAGGTACGTCATTGCTGAGAGACACTAAACCTGGGCATCTGTCTGTCTGAATGCTGAACAGTTTAAGGACTGTCCATTTTCAGGCACACGATTTGGGAGTGTTTGTTACTGAGTACTGAGATGCTTCATACCCATGAGATGAGCATTACAACTACTAGAATGGTGTTTCACTTGGAATGTGTCTGTCAAAGATGTGAGGAAGGGACTGCAATTGTAACAATTCATTTTGTTCCCCATCAGGAGTACAGTTGACTAATGACTGTACGTAGGGGTCGTGACAAGTTCAACAAAACGTCAGTAGATTTGGAACTGTCGTCATCCATGTCTGAGTGACCATAGAACTGCCTAATCTCATCATGACAAACCAACTCTGAGAATTTCTGTGAAGTCCTTTCAGAAAATGCCGTAGATGTGCTTCTCTTTCCCCTTGTGTAGCCAGACCACACAGTCTACTTCCACCCATTTTACAAAATCATAGCTGTAAGAAGATGAAAACACCCAAATCTATTTCTTTTTGCTATCATTCTATTTAATGTAAGGATAGTACAAGAGGGATAGATTGTTATCGGTATGGAGCGCACGCTTTGCCTGTATTTACAACTGGTGAGGTGGAATGGTGGAGGAGTCAGGTAGATGCAGTATTTGCAAGTTTTTTTTTTTCTTTCTCAGGTGGCAGTAAAACAGATCAACCTACAGAAACAGCCAAAGAAAGAGCTAATTATCAATGAGATTCTAGTAATGAAGGAACTGAAGAACAGCAACATTGTCAATTTCCTGGACAGGTAATTGGGTGTGATCAGCACTAACTGTGTACCTCTAGGCACAAACTCTTTAGCACTATGCATTTATATCGTTAAAACATGGTAAACAACACACTCCTCATTGGAGGCTACTCTGCAATGGCTTCATCTGAAATCAGGTCATTAACCTCTTCTCTGCTTTCTGTTTTGAACCAGTTTCTATTGTTGTGAAGTTGGGTAGAGTACTTGTGGATTGGGAGGCAGGAAGTTAGAATTTGGTGTTTGCTTTGCCCCTTAGCTTTTTACAATGTGTGGTACCTTTTAAAAGCAAAGAGTGGGGATAAATGAGTGCTATTCTAGCTGGCAGTCAGTGACTAGTGGTGTGCCTCGGGGATCGGTGTTGGGACTGCAATTATTTACTATTTATATAGATGATTTGGAGTTGGGGACCACGTGTAGGGTGTCAAAGTTTGCAGATGACACTAAGATGAGTGGCAAAGCAAAGTGTGCAGAGGACTGTGAAACTTTGCAGAGGAACATAGATACATTGAGTGAGTGGGCAAAGGTCTGGCGGATGGAATACAATGTAAATAAATGTGAAGTCATACATTTTGGTAGGAGTAATAGTAAAAAGGATTATTACTTGAACGGTAAAAAGTTGCAGCATGCTGCTATGCCGAGGGACCTGGGTGTCCTTGTGCATGAATCACAGAAGGTAGGTCTGCAGGTACAACAAGTAATTAGGAAGGCAAATGGAATTTTGCCTTTCATTGCTAAGGGGATTGAAATAAAAAGCAGAGAGGTTATGTTGCAGCTGTACAAGGTGCTGGTGAGGCCACACCTGGAGTACTGTGTGCAGTTTTGGTCTCCTTACTCGAGAAAGGATGTACTGGCACTGGAGGGGGTGCAAAGGAGGTTCACTAGGTTGATTCCGGAGTTGAGGGGGTTGGCTTATGAGGAGAGACTGAGTAGATTGGGATTATATTCATTGGAATTCAGAAGATTGAGGGGGGATCTTATAGAAACATATAAAATGATGAAGGGAATAGATAAGATAGGAGTAGAGAGGATGTTTCCACTGGCAGGTGAAGCCAGGACAAGAGGGCATAGCCTCAAGGTTAGAGGGAGCAGATTTAGGACTGAACTGAGAAGGAATTTCTTCACCCAGAGGGTTGTTAATCTATGGAACTCCTTGCCCAGTGAAGTAGTTGACGCTACTTCAGTAAATGTTTTTTAAAAAAAAAAGTAGATTTTTTTGAACAATTAAGGGATACGGTGAGAACGCGGGTAAGTGGATCTGAGTCCACAAAAGGATCAGCCATGATCTTATTGAATGGCGGAGCAGGCTCGAAGGGCCAGACGGCCTACTCCTGCTCCTAGTTCTTATGTTCTTATGTTCTAAAAGATCATGTGCTTTCTCTGTGCTTAGATTTAAAATGCATGTCTGTGAGCAGCGGCTTGAAAGTTTGCAAGTCCACAGACAACACCTGAATTGAAACATTTAGATCAAAAGGCCATCCAGTTAGCAGGCCAAGCAGCAGTTTTTACCAAGACAAGGTTTCGAATTTAGCCAATCAATTTGAACTAGGCACTTAGATACCAAAAACCAATTTAAATTTAAGTCTGATGATTTTGACAGTATAGGACCAATCCTATAGTAAGAAACATTGATATGCCAACAAGGGTGCATTGGAAAAACCCCAGAGCTAGCTGCCCTCCGCCTTCGAGAGAATTGCTGGGTCTCTCAGCCTCCTCTGTCTTAGAGAAAGTACCATCTAAATAATGGTACCCACGGCAAAACTAGATAATGTTCCTGAAAGAAGAATTGGAGAAGGCACAGAGCATCATGGAACACACATAACCTGGCTGTAATTTTGAGAGACTAAATTCTATTTTTTTTTAATATAAGTGGGATTTGTATTTATTGGTACAGCATACCATTAGAATCTTGTTTTATTCGGTAATAGTTAGTAGTTAGAGATGTATTTGATTTGTCAATAGTTTAGTTAATTCGCTCACCGTTAGAGTTAGATAAGTATATTGTTACTTGTTGATTTTAAAGTGAGTGTTAGGGATTTATTTTATTTAACCATGAGAAGTTGCTGAAGGGCAGGTTGTAGCACTTTTCACACTCCTTTTACAGATTATAGGGTGAGGAGTTCCTGGTTGGGTGTTTTGGTTTTTGTTCTTGGGAGTCGTGTGGGGGGAGGGTCAACCTCTGCTTTATAACCGGTTGGGGGCTCGTCATCCAGGATTTGGACAACGAAAGGTCCCAGCAGATTTAAACAGACTCGGACTAGTGTCCTAGATTTTTTTTTTTTAAAAAAACTTCAGTGAGAAATGGAAAATCTGTTTTTGACCCATATCCCTCTAAACCTTTCCTATTCATATATCAGTTCAGATGCCTTTTAAACATTGTAATTATACCTGCTTCCATCACTTCATCTGGGAGCTCATTCCATATACACATCACCGTCTGAACAAAAACAATTACCCCTCAGATCCTTTCTAAATCTGTCCCCTCTCACCTTAAACCTATGTCCTCTAGTTTTTGACTCCCCTGCCGTAGGTAGAAGACCTTGGCTATTCACCCTATCCATGCCCCTCCATGATTTTAAGAACCTCAGTAAGGTCACCCCTGTATTTATATACACCAAACCTGTTATCCGCAGCACTTCTATTTCACTAGGAACATGCCAAAAGGTACATAGACCACAAGGGCATTATAACCATTTCCCTCAAATTAGTTTCAATATTCATTCTAAATCCTCAAGTTTGTCCCTGGTCAATTAATAAATTGTTGATATTTTCGACATGAAAATTTCAATTGGGGGCTAGAATTTTGAAGAATAAAAGGTGATCTCATTGAAACGTACACAATATTTAAAGCAATAGTGTAGATGCCTGTAAGATGTTTCCCTGGTTGAGATGTCTGGAACAGAGGTCACAATTTAAAATTACAGTGGATGTCATTTGGGACCGAGATGAGGAGAAATTTCTTTCCCTAGCTGTTGAATCTTTAGAATTCTCTATCCCAGAGGGCTGTGGAAGCATGGTGTTTGAGTATGTTTAAAGTAGTAATTGCAAAATACCTGATTTATCAATAGCGCAATGCCCTTCCATATGATAAATCTATACTGTCACCTCACTATGCACCAGTGTAGTCCGCACAAGAGTATAGAAGATCGATATCCAGTGTTGACAGTACAGTGAGAGACGTTCCCTACTTGTGTTTGTAAACAAGTGAGTTACAAAGCTTGCTTTTGTATTGTCCTAGTTACTTGGTGGGTGATGAGTTGTGCGTTGTGATGGAATATCTGGCTGGCGGTTCACTGACTGATGTTGTTACGGAAACTTGTATGGATGAAGCACAGATTGCTGCAGTATGCAGGGAGGTAAGTGCGTAACTAAAAGTCCCTTCCAATTTGCCCATAGATTCCTTCATGGGGGCAGGGTGTGTTGCCAATTTCTACTAATTCATCATTTGTGCCCTCACCAATAGCTATTGGTGACTGTGATGGTACAAGTTATTTAATCTTCATTTGTGTATATTTTCCCTGTGGTGGGTAAGGAAATTGCAAATGTTGGCAGGTTCGGGGGAACAATTATATCAGAACTTCAATACTGCATTGTGGAGTTCAGCATCTCTCCTTGGTTGCTCATTTTGAAATCCATAGTTTGGTTTCTTTACAGCTACTAATTTTTCTTGTTGTTTTTAATAATCCTTGAAATTGACATTTGCCATGGGGCACTATACTTGCAGGACATCCTGTGCGGCATTTCTCATTTGTTTTGCATAGCCTACATCCAACCTACTACTGCCTATTTGTCCAATCTCCAGTTCCTTTATCCCTCCCTATGAGAGCCCTTGTTGACTGACTGTCATCAATAGAGTCTGAGATTTCTTTCCACCCAAATTTGCACCAGTGAGAGTTGTTTTTTGGCTTTGTGCCCTGATTTGAATTTAATGGAAAAGCAAAACACATTTACTAGATTGAAAATACCTAAGGAAATTCTTATTGCCTGCATTTTGGATATGGTTGCACTAAGATTCTATTTTGAAAAAAACTTGCGTGAGATTCTCAAGAGAAGGCAAGAACTACTTGTGTTTATAAAACATCTTGGAAAATACCAAAGAACTGTTCATGTTTTTTAATATTCACTTGTGGGATGTGGGCATTGCTGGCTGGGCCAGCATTCATTACCTTTCCCTAGTTGCCCTTGGGAAGATGGTGGTGAGCTGCTGCCTTGATCCACTGTAGTCCATGTGTTGTGGTATGACCCACAATGTTTTTAGGGAGGGAATTTCAGGATTCTGACCCAGCCACAGTGAAGGAACGGTTTCTAAATCAGGATAATGAGTGGCTTGGAGGAGAACTTACAGTTGAAGGTGTTCTCCTGTATCTGCTGCCCTTGTCCTCCTTGATGGAATTGGTCAAGGGTGTGGAAGACGCTGTCTAAGGAGCTCTAGTGCATCTCTGTAGATTAGTACATACTACTACTGAGCCTTGGTGGAGGGAGTGGGTGCATGTGGATGTGGTGCCAATCAGGGAGGCTGCTTTGCCCTGCATAGTGTCAAGCTTATGTTGTTGGAGCTGTACCCATGCAGGCAAGTGGGTAGTACTCCATCGCATGCCTGACTTGTGCCTTGTAGATGGTGGACAGGCTTTGGGAAGTCTGGAAGTGTTACTCACTGCAGTATTCGTAGCCTCTGACCTGCTCTTGTGACCACTGTACATTTGCGTGGGGAGTTCTTTGAGTTTCTGGTCACCGGTAACCACTACCACCCCCCTCCCCACCCCGTGCGATGGTAGTGGAGGATTCAATGATGGTAAAGCCATTGACATTTACTATTGAAACAGAACAAAGCAGACTTTTAAATGTAGAAAACGGGAAAGTCAGGGACCGTTGAGGGTTTTCTGCCACTGATGGTGGAAACGAGAGATGAAATATTTGAAACAGTAACGAAGTGAAGAGTACAGGCAGAGTGGAAGAAGATTGTGGAGCTGTGACATGGCCGTTGCAATAATGGAGGGTTTTAAATGTAATAGTATTACTGAAAACCAGGGAAATCTCTCCTTGAGGCCACCAACCTAAAGGTAAAGGGTGGGTGAAGACTCCACAGTCCCAGAGGGCCATGGGGCTGTGCTCCCATTAGAGAGAAACAGCTGGTGGTGGTTTAACCTGAGGGTCACCACTTCAGGCAAGGGGAGAGTTTGAGAAGGAGAGCCCTTCATCAGCCAGTGCAGGAATTGAACCTGCACTTTTGGTATCACGGTGCATTGCAAACCAGCCATCCAGCTAACTAACCCCCGGGCCTCTGCTGTAAACAGTGTTGCTCCCATACAGCTCTGAAGTCTCTTGAAGCAAATGGCTGTAAAAAATTTCCTGATGGTCCTGTTGTTAGTGACTGATGCCTGATCTCAACTGAAATGGCATCAAAACTGCTATGCTTGTCTTCAGCCTCCCTACATTTTGTTATGGTAAATTTCAGTCAGGTTTCCACTCTCTTCCTGACTGCTATCAACTGACCCCTACTGGAAAGCATACAGCAAATAGGGACAATTTCAAACTTTGTCATGATGTCTCCCACTGAGCTTTGAAGTTGGTCAAAACCTACCCACATTCTTGTAGAGTGATTTCCCCAGATAAGGAACCAGAAAGCAACTGATGCCTTTTGAACTGTACTCTATCAGGAGTCTGTCATCAAGTGGACGGTGGGGGAGTGAAGATTAATTTGGTAACAAAGGACTGTGGGTTTGTGTGATATAACAGTCTTGTTCTGGAGTACAGCACTGGTTTTGCACAGACATTTTTATTGCTGCTAATGTATCAGTATTCCCCATAGCCTGCTCTTTCAAATGCATAATATAATAGCACTATGCTTGCAAGTTAGAAAATCTCATTCTTAGTCTTTTTTTCAGAGCTTTATAAGCAAATTAACTCTTTACTCAGTGTAATGCAGTTCTCAATCTTTATTATTCCTCTCGGCAGTGCTTACAAGCGTTGGAATTCCTGCACGCAAACCAGGTCATTCATCGAGACATCAAGAGCGATAATGTGCTACTGGGCATGGATGGATCTGTAAAACTCAGTGAGTGAGAGTTTCACCTTCACCCTTGTGCTGAAATTTGCTTACTCCTATGAATAGACTGAGGCAGAATTCATAAACTGCACTGTTAAGAGCTGACGGAAAATGTTATGACATTAAAAAAAAATTAGTGATGTTTAGCTAATTCTCCAGTGTAGATGTGTGACACATGAAGCAGCGATGCCAACTTTGGCAGCTCTGAATGAAAATCAAGACGAGCAAACGCAGGTGAAAGAATAAAGGCACAGACATGTTAACAGATTAAGCAAATGGGCAAAAAACTGTGACAGGCAGATTTCAATGTAGACAAATGAGGGTATCAATTTTGAATCTTAAAATGAATCATGAAGGATACTTTCTAAATGGTGAAAAATTGTAAAGGTCCATAGAGACTTGGGATGGGGTGGGGGCTTGTTGTCTAAGCACATGGATCATTTAAAATGTCCCTTGCGGCAAGATAACTCGCAGTCCATTAACATCTTGGCTTTTCTTTTATTGGACCAAAATAAAGGTAGACAAGCTATGCTTTCACTGTACAAAGTTCTTGTTAGGCCACATGCAGAGGCACTGTGAACAGTCGAGGCACCATGCCTTAGGAAGGATATAGTGGCCTTGGAGTGTGTGAAGTTTAGGTTAGTCAGAGACCTGACTTCCGAGGGTTAAACTGAGGATTGATTGTTCAAGGGTGTGGACCAAAGCCCTGTGGAGTTGGGTCACAGATCTGCCTTGATCTCATTGGCTGAAGGGGCTAAAAGATTACCATCTGTTTCAATGATAGTAGGAACTGCAGATGCTGGAGAATCTGAGATAA